ATTGGGCACACAACTTTCTAAGCGCTTTCCATCTCTTCTGACCGAGACTACGTTCGCTGTCAGCGATTTAACTCTGCTTTGAGCCCCCGTGACGAATCATCGCTGGAAGTTTTTTTTCTTTTCGGCGAAGTCGCTCACTTAGGAGAAGACACAGCACCGGGAGACATATCGAGAGGAATAGAGCGCTGAGCCGGAACGAATACTGCATCTTGGTGACTACTACGAACTAGGAATTCCGCGGCTTTCAAAAGCACTCCGAACTCAGAAAACTCTGTGGTTTGATCGGTGATTGGAGAGCCCTATGCTCGCCTTTCTCGTCTCCTCGAGGCGTCCTTCGCCATGAAAGCGATCGTGAACATCGGCGAGCGACTCCTCAGCCGTCGCACGATTGCACTACTTCGCACTGGGCCGAGCCGAGCATGTCGCCGAGACGTAAGGGAACTGTGAGTGCGGTCATTCGGAGGAACTCGAGACACGACCAGAGCGACGAGTCACTACGCTGACGACATCGGGCCAGCAATGAATTGATTCGTTGCGATTCTTTCTTTTTTGTGTGCTTTCTGAACGTCCTCAGGTTTGAACAGGCTCTTTATGCACCGTCACTGGGGAGAATGACGGCGGTAGCGGCACACAAGGAGAGAAAGAAGCAAAGAGCCAAAGCAGAAGCGAAACAGACAACCATTGAATAAAAACAGGTCGTAGTCGAAGACGACTACACACATCTGAGGATGATGATGGCGTGTGTCTCTTTGTGCGACATCTTGATTGAGTTCGTAGTCCTTTCAGGAGCACGCTGTGTCTGTTCCATTTCCTCGCGGGGAAGCCACAGTTGAAGCTCCGGCGAGGACGACGACGACGGCAACAGCAGCTCACAGCTACCTGCTGCAGCTGCTCCGACTGATCCTTTTCGCAGCGCACTTGCTCCCGTTGAATATCAACCGCGCGAAACGAGCCGGCGTCGGAATCCGGTGAGATCTCCGTGGGGAACCGGCTCGACGGGGAAATGAACCGAGAAACGGGAGGACAACTACTGCAAGCATACAGCAGCATGTCCGAACGGAGAAGTACAGCGCCGGCGACGAGGAGAAGATGAAGAAGTGGCAGGCTCCGTTATTTGCAAGAAATACAAGAACGAAATAGAATCGCAAGCACAAAGAGCCACGGCGAGCTATATAAATAATCCACCACTTCCGATCCTTCCGATGTCTTTCGCTGTAAAAGGGAAGTAGGACTCATTACCCACAATGGACTTCCTCATTCGAGAGACCTCTCCCGTTTTCGCCCCTCAGCCCTTCGAGCGGTACCCCCCCCCGCTCCTGCTCTCTTCCTCTTTTCCTCCTCTGACTGCGTGCCGACTATCCTTTTTCTCTCGCGAACCTCCACTGCTCATGTCGGAGTCGATGTGAAGTAACCCGAGTCGCCGCTCTCCCAATCTCGATGGTGCATACAGCTCTTTCTGAGGTTTTTCCCCTTGTTCTTCGCTCAGAAAAAGGATCAGCTAATCAGCTGAATCAAGACTGATTTCCCAGCAAAATTCCGTATAAGGGGAATCGGCTTTCGAACCGACAGTCTAATCTTTGACGAAGACGACCCAAGGACATTTCACGCGAAAACCGTGACGGAATGAACCTACGAAATATACCGATCTCGATAGCCCGATGGTCAGCTCACGGGTCCCCGCGGCAGAGAATCTCTGATCACTAAAGTTTTGCTCGAGAACAACTCTTTGCCGACAGCGTCCGGAGTCGATCAATCTCTTCGCGATACAACATGGATTCATTGGGGGAGCCGCGGTGAGGGATAAAACATCGAGGGCTCGCTTCGGAAGGGGGAGGGGAAAGGGGGAGAATTCGCTCCTTCCCTCCCTCCATCCATCCATCGATGCTCCTTCGGTGCAGTAGATGGGTGCATAATTTTCACGTTATAGTTGCTGCTTCATTCTCTGTAGCGTTAGTGGCAGCGTACGATGTCGTCGCCCCCTGTTGTTGTCGATGTCGTCGTCCTTCGCAACAAAGATGTCGATGAGCCGAATCGAATCGGAGCTGATCTCGTTCCTTCCCCACAATGAATGCCACAATGTGACGAACCATTCGGCTGATCACCGGGGTTCGGAGCGACTTTCAGATTGCTTATTTGCAGTTCAACCTCCTTGGACTCCGCGGGCGTGTGAACCTCGGTATCAGGGAGCTAGTTCTCCGGGCGGATCTGGCGATTGGACTGCATATGTATCTGTTTTTTCCCCCATGCAGTGCTTTTCGGAAATCAAGTCCTGGGGTCCGGTCTGGTTCGAAACCACCTCCCCCTCTTTCCCGCGGCATCGGCGAGCAATGATCGGTTTGTTTCGGGAAATCGCTTGCCTCGAAGGGCCGCCTTGGTCAGGTGCGAGGAACATTACCCACGCTTCCGTGGGACGGATGGGAGCATTATTTGAGCGCAGAGAATTTCGTCTGCGGAGGGTCTCCTGTGTCCATTTGGTCTTTCCTGAAGCCAGCGGCTTTGCGACCGGCTGGCCAGCCCGATAGCTGACTGGGCCTAGATGGTGATCCCCCCTTTCTTCTGAAGCAAGTGGGTACCGCGTGGCAATCCTGACTCCACTCGACCGTAAGCCAATCCCAGAGCCAGGGTCCAGCTAGGAGACGACAACGGCGGCAGCGGCGACGACGACGACGGAGCTGTTCTCGGGAGGGGGTTCCTTTGAGAAGAAAAATAGGCGCAGCTTGCCAATAGAAGCTCTTTCTCCCGATAGAAATTCCCATAGTAGTCGTCGCACAAACGCACCAACACACGCTCTTTGAGAGCAGCGAGAGCAGGAGAAAAACGAGGGGCAGAAAATAAATTCGTTGCTGATCAGCTCCTGTGAACAGGCGCTCCAATCCTATTGACCGGAGGGAGCAGCGTTTCGTAGTGGGAAAAGTCCCGAAAAAAATTTCGAGAGGGAGGCAGCGGGGAAAACGAGATGAAATTCTCCCCGCGTTTTTCTTTGTTTCGTTCGGACGAGTTCTGTAATCGTGGAATGTCGAGTCAAAGGCTTTCACGCTCGGAATATCGCTGATCGATCAGAAGAGCTTCTTGGTGACAGTAGTTCAAGGACTTCACGCCTCCTCCGCATCGACACTACCATCCGCAAGTCGAAAGAGGAACGACCGCCGCAGTCGGCGACAGCAGCAGCACCACTGTCCACCGAATTGTTGAGATTTTTCCTCCCTCATATTTTTCTCCTCTGACGAATGAACCTCTCTCCGTCTGCTGTCGCGCATCGCCTTTTGACAGCCGACCGGACAGATTCGATTCGAAGCCAGAAGCTCCATTATTCAGCCCGAGTTAACTGCTCCTTGGAGATTATTTTCTGATGTTGGATCGAGTTAGACCTGGTTGGCAACGAGGTGGAGCAGCCGGGACGAGGAGGATGTGAATTGGAAGTGCTCTCAGGAGAGCAGGCTTTCCCCAATGCAGCCGCGCTCTCCGCCAACTCCTGAAGTGTCTCCTGCTCCTCCTTCTAAACCCTTTGTGGCCTCAGAGACTTCAATCCCACAAAGGCTTCTGCTCTCTCGGTTTACCCCTGCCCTCAGACCGTAATGATGTGAAAGATGCCAACCACACCGGGTCGACCTGCTTGCTTTCTTTCAGACATTCAATCCCATAGACAATTACACGGCGGTGGTTGCGTCAAGGGTTCCTTTGAGAAGAGCCACGAAAAGGATGGATTCCGACGCTTTAAAATTATGGAACTTTCCGCGAAATTCCAGTGATGCCACAATGAAGCAGTTGGGGATGGGGAATATTTTTCAAACATAGACGGTCGGATTCAAGAGAGCAACCGCCCCGAAAGCGGGATCAAATGTGAATTTCGTCAAGCATGACACTCGGAATATTTCATGTAAATTTCATCCTTTCAACGTTTTCATCGCTCTAAACATCTATTCCACTATGGCTCCTTCCCCCGCGACTCGCTCTTTTTTGTCGGTGCTCGCTTTTTCTTGCGATTGATCTGCTTCGAATAACATTCAAAACGCAAGCGCGTTGTTGTCATCGACCTTTTTACTCCACAAACCGTAGGAATGACCTCTCCGGATGGTGAATTTCTCGAAGGACTGCGTCATTCGGAAAAGGATTCGAATGTCAGAGCAGATGACAATGAGATTATTCCCGATCAAATACGATGCTACCCGAGCGGAATCATCAAGAGCAGTCCAAGTCGACTGGGAAGAGAGAGTTCCGATTCGTCGTAATCCCATTCTTTTCGCGAGGTGCATTTGCTTTGATCGCTGTGTGGAACGAGTGATCCGCACTTTGCATTCCTAACTACGATTATCGTCGGTCATTATCTTCATACTCTCCAATCGCTGGATCACCCTCAAAGATCGGAGGATTAGTTCAAGTGATTGTTCAACTTCAACCTACAATCAAATCACCACCGACCCAGCTCGCTTTTCATTCACTCCCAGTTCCTGTACGGGACTGCTCCGGAGTACTCCTGACTCTGACAGAAGGCCATGTCCTATCCGAAACGAGACATTGATCTGTCGCGGATTCCTTTCCCCGTGCTAGGGTGGAGCACGATTCGCCTTAATCCTCATCGTGCCCGACGTATCCATTACGTTGGTCACGGATAATTGTATCATTCGTCAATCAGAGATACTCGCCGCATTTCTCCCGTCTCCTTCGGAGTCTTTCACGTATCGATCCTGCAATAGATACGAGTCGATGGCGAGGCGCAGAGATTTTTCCCAACTTCATTAGAACTAGAAACATAACAGACGGGAGAACGGGCAAGCAAGGGATTCGGGGTCTCTGGCTCGCTTTCGGGAGAAATAATCGTTCATGTTTGGTCCGGGCTGAGTTTATAACTTTCTCCTTGCAGAGGGAACTCGACTCGACTGTCCGGAGGTGGAGACGAATTTCTCGTCGCCGTAGCGCGTGCTCTCGTCGTCTTCCTGCGTATGTTTCCATAAGCGCGGAACGGCATCAAAACGAGAGGGAGCGTTCAGAGAGAAAACAGAATGTCTGCTAAGCGGAAATCCACTCCAACCAAACTTCCGGCGGAGAACGCCGACGACTCCGGGCACCAGGACGCCGCCAAACTGGGAAGGGTGAGTGCTCCGTGAACATCTCGCTTCTTCTAACATGCGAATGGGCTCGGCGGCTTTCGAGCGAGTTACGTGTGACGACCTTGCGCCGACACAGAGCTCGGAGTAGGATTGGAGAGCCCGATGTAAGAAAAACTAACACTGAGGGCGGGTGTCAAGGAGTTTACTACTTTTTCTTGGCCCTACATAGGCTTTGCTTATGTCTTTCGAGACGTTTGACTCTCGATAGTTGTTTCTGTCTGAGCGCGTCGTAATGTCGTTCCGTCTTCAAAGCAAACATCCGGATTCGATCAAACTCGCTTCTCAACCTGAGGCGCTGGACGAATGTTTATCGGAGTTATGCGTATCCGCAGATTTCGGGACCCGAATCTTTTTTCTCTCAGCTGTACAAAGAAAGCTCGCTGGCCACACTCTTAGTCTAGCCCTTTTGAGCATTTTCTCGCTCGGGAGAAATCCCGCGACGGAGAGATCATCGCCGATTTGCACGGCTGTCCGACACTCTGGTCCGGCAGCCGACTCTCCGAGCTGGATGATCGTCAATGATATTGAAGTACGCCGATCTTATGGTAGGCCTGCTATCTTTGGCGTTGGTAAAGAAAAACAAAGAATTCTTGGCTGATCGTTATCTACGCTTTCTGCCCGTTCAAGAATTCGACGTTCTCTGATTTTCTGACGCTCGTCGGTGTTCATTACAGTTTTCGTCCTGTTGCGACAACCTCTCCTATCTTTGGTTCTGCTTGCATGCATACATGTGTCGTCTGTCCAAGTCTGATTGCGCTAATTGCTCCGAGCAGAACTTGGACGGAACGCAACTCGATCGAAGCGCAAGATCGACGCGAGACGTTGCTTCGCCTTACGTCTGCTTTTCCACTGTTGTCGGACTGAGCGTTCGTCTGCATTCGAATCCCTCGAGACGGCAGAGAGATTTTCAGATCGGCTCACCGACAAGATGACTGGAAACAAAGCGGATTCGTTCGAATCCGAGAAGAAAACGCGGGCAGCCAGCCACTAAGCGATCAGGGGTCAGAGGTTGACTGGCATTGTTTTCGGCGTCGGTGTCGGGTGGCAGCATTTTATTCCTGCGGTGCCCACTTGCTATCACCTATTATTGTTGTTGTTGTTGCTGTTCATGCTAATATCGTTGCTGCATTCTTTTTAGTGATGCACTAATAACACAATTATAGCTCGTTCGGTCGCTCATTCGCCCGCTCGAGGTATCCGCGAGCGAATGCCGGAACATCTGTTGTTGGGCATCTGCATACAGTTCTGCCCGCGGATCGTGCTGAGTGTTTCTCGGGAATGATGCGGTTCCAAACAATGCCGTATCGTAGCTCATATTGCGATCGACTCACGGGCAGACTAGCCGACCGACAGACCGACGGATCGAGCGAGCGACCGACGGATCCTTAGACGAAGGGAGCAGCCACGATCGCGCTTGTGTGATGCTCTCGTCGAAGATTACGTTGGCAGTCGCCGAAAAACAGCTGAAACGTACAGAAAATCCAGCTAGCGACACCTTCGCACCTGAGCAGTGTCTTTTCTTGTATATTCTCCTCTGCTTTCTGGTACTTTGCTTTGCGGCGATCAAGGGCGTGGTGTCGCGTGCGATGTGGCCTTCGGCTCCGGAAGAAGTGTCCACCGTTCCGTCGCCGCGTCCCAAGTGGACAGCGACGACGGCGAACAAGCGACCGCAATTTTGTTTGAGAGCTGTTGTTGCGCAAATCTATTCGACTTCGAAACTTCAGACCGATACATATATGAAATTGACGTTTCACGGGAGCTTCGACACCGTCTGTGTCCGCTTCGGAAATCTCTTGTGCGACGGATAGTTGCTCTAGGTTCATAACCTAATAAAACGCACGGGTGACGCATAAACGTCAAACTCCCGGCCTGGACCGAAGTCGCATGGCATTGGGTGAAACGCGAAAAAAATCCAATGATGGCTTCTCGAATGCGTCCGACAGGCGAATTCGATCGACCATGCCTGCGAGCGAGTGCAGCATAGGAGCGGAAAGTCAGATGTCTCATGAAGAGGAGCGGCAACAGACGAGGAGAATCGTCGAGACGGGCATTAAAACGGCATGACGCGTAATGAGCGTAACTGGAGGTACTTCTGCGTCTTCATTTCCAGTTACCATGATTCGCTTCCGACAGCTATCCCGATGCCCGATCCGCTCGAGTCTCCGGTGATTTTCGTGAACGGTTGACGTTCCCTTATGTCCGTCTTTCCGACCCTGTAGATCCATGTGGCTGTCGAAGGATACGCTCGTCTTGAATGAGGCAATCAGAGGAGAGTAGCTGTTTCTTGAGCCGTTCAGTGGAGCTTAGGTAATCCTCGACGAGCGTCACGCTTTCAGGGTATTCTGTCGTGAGTATCGAGCACGCTTCCCTGGCTAGGACCAAACACTGATATACACTCCGAGTACTGATATATCTAAGTACAGCGTACAATACTATACTATATTATAATACACTATGCTCGGAGCGCATAGGCTGTCGGGGGCTTGAGATCCCCATTTGGATCTGCAGCTTTTTCTAGAGGGGCGAGATTCTCCGCGATTTGTTCCGAAAATCCAGCCGCGTCGTTTTTATGCTTTCGGGGCCTGTCGACACGCGCTGTGAGCGGGTCATGTCGAATGCGCGGTTTATCACCAATCTTTCTGGTGATTTCAATAGATCTCCCCAAACTTTCTTCCATGCGTATATTTCTTGTTCGGTCAATCGTTTTGTGGTCAGTCGGCGGTCGATTTTCACTGAAGAAAAAAACTGAAACAACTGAATAAGATTTATGTGATTTTATCTCGCGCTTTATATTCTTTCGTTTAGCGTCTCGGTATCTCCGATGATAATGGCGAACGAAAGAAGCATTACGCGTACAATCCGAGCGAGAGACAAGTCATCCAAGCTTGTTGAGCGATGCTCGCCTCCTTTTTGTATATCTTTCACTGCGTTCGCTTCAGATACGTTATTCCCGTGCCACCACCGCGTATCCCGCTGTGAAGAAAGACTCTTTTAGAAGAGCAATTTGCCATCACGAGATTCCGTGGATCCGCGATTCTGTTTCTCAGGCATTCTGTCACTCCTTTTCTTGCTCCTCTCTGGCCACGACTCTCTGCGAGGAATCGAACAATTCGCAGGATTGTTCCGCTCAATGAGGGGAATCGCCCACTCATGAACTCTATTCATTCCCTCCCGATTATAACCCGAACACCGCGCGAACCGATTCGCGATTCTTATCCCCATCGCGCGAGAAATAAAGCTCGATACGAATTTCAAGAGCTCGGGATCTTGAGCCCTGCCATGAATCAGAACACGGTCGAGGGAGAAAGGTCTGCGGGAACTTAGAATTCGGGAGAGGATCCTGGCTGATTTACCCATGTGCGCACCCGGTGAGGAGCGACAACAGAAGGCTAGGGTGTGGCCGCAACACCTTGCTCCCTTCGATGAATCGCTGCCGCTGATGAGCGGAAGTGGCGGGTTACCAGACTTCTGAGAGGCCGTTTCGCAAAGGCCGAACGCTCTCCGAGGAAGTGCTACCGTTTTTCTTTTCTTTGTCAGGCTCCAACGAATTAAGTTCTTCTGTTCTGTTTCTGAGGAAAATAGGGAGCTGTCGCCGTTCGAACAAATCCCTCAGTTTGCTTTCGCTACTGCTCGGTCGTTGTTCAATATATATATATTTCGGCTCGATCTGTGCGTCATCTCCCATCTTTTTGTAGCAGAACTTGTCCATTTTGTGTTGTTGATGGTGCTGTGGATGCTGCCGCCGCCCGCCGCAGCCCGGGCTGTTAGAACGAAGGTGTGGCATTGGATTAGAAAATGCTTCGCCTGCCACCACCGCTTCTGTTGTGTTTGGTGGTGTTCACTCTCTCGACAGATAACGACATGTGATTTTATTTTTTCTTATCCATTTATCGACGGGGTCTTTTTCCTCCGATACATGTGCTGTGGCCGCTGGGTTCAACGATCAAGTCTCCGAACTGGGTGGAAATTCTGTAGTTCTTCTGAAATTCTCTGTCCGGAAAAAGCTTCTTCGGTGAAAATGAAGGCGAGAGCTACGCACCTCCGACAGTCGGCTGAGGTCTTTGTATATGTATACGGGGGGATCAGGTTCGGAGAAAGGGCGCATCAAAGTGAAAATTTCGAGCCCGAATTCCGAGAGTAGAAGCCCGAGCCCTGTCTGAAATAAACGATTACGGAGTGAGCTTCTCGCTCACTGTAAGGAACGCATCAAACTTCAGGAATCCCCGTGCTTTCGCCCCTCAGTATTGGGTGAATTCATTCTGGGATGAATCGTCCCCTCTCACGGGCACGCCCGGCATCCATTCCCATTCTCTGCTCAGACTTTATTCGGGATTCGTTCCCCATTCTTACACGGGAGCCAACCCGAATACGAAAATTTTATCGTCGCCCATCTCCTGCTTGTGTTTCTCTGATTCACTAAGTTTATTTGTTTCTTCGCATGAGTCTTGTTGCGATTCTCCGTAATAAGCTCTGTACTCCGCACTATGGTTTGGACTATAGAGAATTCCGAGTGATACAACGTTACCTATTGTGCGTTCCTCCAGCGCGACTCTCGTTACATTTTTATTGTTATTCGTCTGACGCAGACCGCGGAGCAGCCGAGGAGACAGTTGCAAAACTCAAAGACTATCGGCGTGTTTGTTTCTGGTTGTGCGGGCACCCTGTTTACCCTTCATGCCCACTAGTCATTGTGTCATTTTGTTTTGTTGTTTCATTTTTTTTCTACCACACACGGTTCCGAGGAATGTTGTTCGAACTTGTGAATTGTTCCGAGAAAAGAAGCCAAGCGATTCTTCCCGTTCAAGGAAGACCATTTTCAAAAAGAAACACCGATCTCGGTCACAGCCACTCAGGTGGAGCGACAGAGATTCCCAACGGTGAGATAATACCTCGCCTGAGTGTCACTGCATGAGCGTGGTGGGCGTTGATGACGGCGATGAGGACATTGATGATCTGGAGATTCGCTGTGAACTTTCAAACTC